TGCCCCTGGCATTCGGGCCATACTGAAGGGGCCCTGGGACACACAAATAAATACACACAAATAGAAAGATTCCCCATATTGTCCCATATGTTCTAGGTTTTTGTCTTCCCCCCCGCTTCCTATATTTTCCCATACTTTCCTGGGAGTGGGCGATTAGTTGTGTCTGTGTTTTTTCCCCTCCTGACACACAATGGCACGCCTATGAGGCATCCCGAGGCCGAACAGCCGCCGAACACCCACGAAAGCGTCCGAAACCCTGGACCCTCGAGCCTCCGATCCCCCTCCCCATGAGCCCACGTCCCTGCCTAGCCCAAACCCCCAAACACGTGTTCTTGTTCATCACGTCGACCCCCCGAGGCCTCGAGCCGCTCCCCGGGACCAGCTTGCCATCCCGACTCATTCTCGACAGCCCTGGTGGCCCGTAGCCAGAAACCTCCCGCCACCTCTGTTGCCACTAAGGAGACGAAGAACGATAGAAACATAGAAACTCGGAGGTCCGCGCGGACCTCCGAGTTTCTATGTTTACGTCATTCTTCGTTCCCCCTGTCACGACACCAGGCAGTCCGGGGGCGCTGCCCCAGAGGGAATCTACGAAAGTCGGCTGCATGCAGGAGTGACCCTGGGCAAGAGTGACCTATGTTGCGCGGCTCGCCAGCCGTTGCTGGCGGTGCGGCATTGGCGGCCCGTGCGCTGCACGGTTTCGCCCGGGGCCGTAGGCGACCCGAGGAGGAGGAGGAGGAGGAGGAGGAGGAGGAGGAGGAGGAGGAGGATGAGGAGAGGAGGGAGGAGGAGGAGGAGGAGGGAGGAGGAGGAGGAGGAGGAGGAGGAGGAGGAGGAGGAGGAGGAGGAGGAGGAGGGAGAGGAGGAGGAGGAGGGGGGAGGAGGAGGAGGAGGAGGAGGAGGAGGGAGGCAGGAGGAGAGAGGAGGAGGAGGAGGAGAGGAGGAAGAAGGAGGAGGAGGGGAGGAGGAGGAGGGGGGAGGAGGGAGGAGGAGGAGGAGGAAGGAGGAGGAGGAGGAGGAGGAGGAGAGGAGGAGGAGGGAGGGAGGAGGAGGAGGAGGAGGAGGGAGGAGGAGGACGGAGGAGGAGGAGGAGGAGGAGGAGGAGGAGGAGGAGGAGGAGGAGGAGGAGGAGGAGGAGGAGGAGGAGAGGAGGAGGAGGAGAGGGGAGAGGCGGAGGAGGAGGAGGAGGGGAGGAGGAGGAGGAGGAGGAGGACGGGTCGCCTAAGCCCTTCGGAGAAACCCTCCACCGTGCGCACGGGCCTCGCCCTCCCGCGCCCCCAGGAAGCCGCGCACGAGAGGCCACTCTGGCGAAGACGGGGCACTCCATTACGCCGGGGGCGTCCAGGACGGGGGCGTCCAGGGGGGGGGGGCGCAACTCCTGGCCGGCGGCATGTGCGCGGCCCCGTGGGGGGGCGGGGGTCCGAAAATCCAACGCATTGAAAAAATCAAGACGGAGGTTTTTCGCTAATTTCGGCCCCTAAGGGCCCTCGCCGGGCCTCGGGACCGTCAAAAAAAGACTCGGGACGAAAAACCGGTCCTGGGGAATGGGTCAAGACTTCCGGGGACCGCGCATTGAAAAAAACAAGGCATCGGATCTCTGGGGGGGGGGCGGGGACGTGTGGAAACAAGGAGAGGCGCCGCGTAATCTTGGGAGATAGCCTGGCCCCCGCCGTCACATCCACACACACACACACACACACACACCTCCGAGTCCTCACCCCCCTCTTGTCTGGGCCGCCCCCGATGACGCGCAGCCTTAGGTCGGGCATGTCCCCCTACAGGCGGGCTTCGAACCCAAGATGAAACATATTCCAACACAACGAACACAACAAACAATAGCCCCCCCCCCCGAAAAAAAAAAAAAAACATGACTCACTTGTACTACTTGGGAACCTCCCTCCTGCCTGTAGAGGGACAGGCCCGACCAAAGCGCAGCCGCGAAGGGGCCTCCGACAGAGGCCCGGGCCGGGAGCGCCATCCGGCCGCCCCCCCGGGAGGATAGCGCCGCCGCCCGCCGCTGCCCTGGGCTCGGCCTTGGCCCGCCGCCCCCTCTTCCTCGGAGGCGGGGGGGAGGGGGGGACGGCGCGCAGGGGGCGGGGCCCCCGACCCGCGGGGGGGGAGGAGGGAGCCCAGACACGATACAGTCGGGGCGTTGACCTAAGGAACACAAAATAAGGAGCGAGGCCTCTTTTTCCCATAAATTAAGGTTCGATGTCCCATGGGAAACCTCAGGAAAACCTGAGACAAACTGTGAGATAGTCAAGGAACACCGAGCCCCTACCCAGTGAAAAGGGTTCCTTCTTCAGCGCCCCGACTGTGGCGTTGTCAACAAAAATCAGGACGTGAGGATTTTGCCCACTGTCGGTTCTGGGGGGCCCTCGCCGGGCCTCGGGGCCGTCAAAAAACGACTCGGGGCGAAAAACTGGTCCCGGGGAAAGGGTCGGGACTTCCAGGGACGCCGTCCTTGAAAAAAACAGGACGTCGCATGTCTGGGAAGGATTCAGAAGACGACCCGGTACTGCGCGTGGTCTCGTCGTCTGCAGGAGGAGGGGAAGGCGGGGGGGGAGGAGGCGGAGGGGGGGGGAAGAGGAAGGAGGGGAAGGAGGTTCAGGATCCAGGATCAAGGGAAGCAGAAGCGGGGACGCAGCGTCCCGCAATTGGGCCACAAGAGCCTGCAGGAGGGCCCTCCGTGGAGCCCATGGGCCATACAGTCCAGCGTAGGTCACGGAGCACCTCTTGGATGTGGTGTCCGTGTCAAGGAGGAGAAGGACGAGGACGACGAGGATGCCGACATTCGGATGGCACTGCCACAAGCTCGAGGCTCGAGGAGGTCGACACTGACACAAGCTCGAGGTGGTCCTTGGAAGGCTCCGTGGCCATTTAGAGCCACCTTGGGGCGGTCCTGGAGCCTCGTGGAGGAATGCGAGAGGCTGTCTAGAGCCAGCTTGGGCTATCGTGTACCATTTGGGAGGCCATCTTGGGCTAGTTATCTGAGGCCAGCTGGGCGACGAACAGCAACTTGTCTTACGCACGATTACGTACAAACTTGCGCCGCGGCTTGCGCGGGCCGCCAGCGCGGCACGCTGCACTGGAAAGCATGGCGCTCACGCGCGACCTTACGCGGACAGTTTACGCGCCCATGCCGGCAAAGACTGACTACCTACCAGACCGCCCCAACCCAACCCGAAGACCCGAATTTCGGGTTGGGGGGGGTAAGGGTTCCACATGTGTTTTTTCGATGCTTCCCGACCCCCCCCCCACTGGTCATCGAGGATAAATTTGGGCCTTCGGGTTGGGTAGGGGGTAGCTTGGTGGGTGGTGACCGCCGCCCCTGCCCGCATTCTCCGTGCGGCACTGCAGCGCGGCCCACACCCGCCGCAGCGCACCCCGCGGGCACGACGCCGGCGCCCCCAAGGCGCGCCCGCGCGCGCCGGCGCCGCGCGCCACGCCCGGCGCGCGCGGCGCACTCCCGTGCCCGGCGCGCACCAGTCTGCAACGACGCATCGACCGCGCCGACGGCGCATCGGCGGTAAAAACTGGCGGCGAGCTCCGGGGGGAAGTGAGGGGGGGCAGGACTTCTCAGGAAGCGGCGGGGCTTCTCAGGAGCCCTCCAGCCGTCTGAAAAGCCGTCGATGTTTTCGGAGAAGGCTTAGAAAACTGATCAGAAGGCTGGAGGCCTTCTGGGTCTTCTGAGAAGGCCCGCCCCCTCTGACTTCCCCCCTGGGCGCGCCGCCGAGAAAAACGAAGCCACGATCGGGGCAATATCGGATCGGGGTCAATCGAGGATCTCTGAGATCAGGCGGCTATGGAGGATGTATCGGGCGCCGCGGCAGTTTCTGAGCGTTACAGAACGCTTTGAAAGCGTTCCCCGGCGCCCTGGAGCGATTAACCCGATGCCAGTACGGACAGGACCGGGCTCCTGATCCTCCACCCAGACCGGAGAGAAAGTCCGCCGGGCTGAACGTGTCACTGCCCTGCGCTCATAAAATGACTTCGGCCCCCGTGGGGGCCTGCCTCTCGCCAAGGGATCGGCAAAAAGAGGCACCCAGGGCGAAGAGCTGCCCCCCTTGCGCAGACTGTGAGGACGTCAAGCCGTCGAACCGCTGAGGATCGCGCCGCGTCCCTGGAGCACCGGCGGCCTGGCCCCGGCTCGAAGGGCACGGGGCCCTGGCCAGCCCCTCCCTCCGCGCCTGCCCCGCGTCCCTGGCACCACCAGATGCGGCCGAAGCGATCTGGGCAGGTGGCCCTGTTTGGAGTCCCGAAACGGTGCGGTGACAGACCGTGCGGTGACCTCGAGATCCCCCAAGACCTCACCGCACGGTCCGTCACCGCACGGTCTTGGGACCTCGGAGGTCCCAGTCGCCCGAGACGTCCTCGGAGAACGACCCGAGTCCCAAAACCGTGCGGTGACCCCGAATCCCCACCGACTCACAACACGGCGTGGTCGCCACCCCGTTTGGGGGCCCCCGACCCTGGCGGGAGGGCCGTTTGCGTTGGAGGGCAGCTCCTGGGAGGTCGTCGTAGGAACGATTTGGGGGCTGTGAAGCACGCTCGCCATCGCTCGGACGTCGATTCCCGGTGTTCTTTGTCCGGTTTCGTGCGTGGTTCTGTTCGGCAAGTGGTCAAGGATGCTCCCCGATGATCCTCGCCGAGGAAAACACGCACACGCCCGAGCGATGCCAGGACACGACGAAGGGGCCAGTCAGCCAGATCGCCTGCGCCAGGGGCAGGGGGCACGGGTCGCCCCGTCGCGCCGCCGCCGGGGCCTCGCCGGCCACGGAGAAGAGGCCACCGCCGAGCAAGATACGCGAGGGCCCAGGCAGGTGGTCGGAAACTGGGCATCGCTCGGACGTCCATTCCCTGTGCTTTGTTCGGTTTCGTGCGTGGCTTTTTCCCCAAATGATCAAGGATGCTCCTCGATGGTCCTCGCCGAGGAAAAAACGCACACGTCCGAGCGATGCCAAGGAAACGGCTGGACCCGCCTCAGTACGAGCTCCTCATCAGGCCTGGTCGAGGTCCACCTGGAAACGAAGACGATGCTCCTGCGCCAGAACAACATGCGCGTCCGAGTTCCCGAGGAAGGCTTTCAATGTCCCCCAGCTGTTGGCGTTGACCGTGGTGACACAGAGCCCTCCTTCAAGCTCGCGATGGAGGGCGGGATCGAGGTGGAGGTCGAAAACCTGCATGGTCCTTCCGGGCCCAGAGAAGACAACTTCCAGGAGCCGGCCAGGAGTGCGCTCGCTGGTTCCAATGAGAGGAACGCATTGAACAATCTTAGGGTGAGGAAGAACTGGCACCGCCTGAAATACCATCAACCATGAAATAACCATAAGCACGGAACCCAGCAAATTCTTGACACCGAAAAAGAAGGTCCTCTTCCAGCCCGTGCGTTGCCTGGATGCAAGTCGTATCAGGATTGGGAATGACTTTGGCTCGCGTTTGAGGCGCCCTCTGAACGATTCGGGCGAGGGCTTGAATGACGCGAATAACGTGTGACTGCTCCACGTCACAGCACTAAAATTACGACGAGCGCGATTGGCGGCCTCGCGAGGGGAGGCGGACGCTGCGCATGGTGGCGGAGAAGCCGAGGAGCAGCTGCAGGAACCATAAATCCCAGAAGCAGCAAGAAATGAAACCGACGATGCGGAACTAGAAGAACACGTGGAGGAACACGATGGAGAACGGGGCCAGGTGGTTAGAACTGGCCCTGCCACGATCAATGCAAGCTAGCTGTTGTAGCAAAAGGCGGCTGCAAGGCTACCAGAGAGGCGCTAACGCAGTCGTCGTTGAACTCATTAAAAATCTCGAGCAACGGTGATAAGTGTCTAACAAAAACGGCGCACGACTTCTGGGCCTCCGCGACCATCTCCTCGACTTGCGTTCGGGCGACCCGGTACTTGTTGAGACCATCGCATTCGGCTTCGATGTTGAAGCTCTCATAGTAGTGGCGAACGACACCAGATAGAGTCGTGATCTCATGAGTCGCTCTGCTGACTCCGAATACGCACTCCTTTTATACCCAGTAGAACCGAACAGATACTTGGCGGCGTCCCAGATCTGCACCCGCTTCATACGGCCAAGATCCTGCTGCCACAAGCTGCCGACGAGCTTGTTCTTGGCCCGCACATTGTGGGGCGCATCAAGGCGGCATCGAAGACAAAGACACGTCTTGGCCACTGGATCGTCATAGTGAAAGCCTCTGGATCTGGCGTGCTCGAAAATGGTCGGGCAGCCGAATCGTTCTGAAACCTGATGGAATAACTCGGATTCAGATTGCGGCACTTGTAAGTGGCCGCCCCAGCCATGGCCTGCGAGATGGAAGGTAGCACAACCTTAGCGTGCTCAACCATGGAGGCGCTGAACGGAGGTCGATTGAAACCCACAATCCACACCAATGACGTACCAGCTGTCATCTTTTGAGAATGATGAGTGCCCCTGTACCCCGCGACTGGGCGGTAACCTGAAGACGCGATGGTAGATCTCTCCCACTTGGCGTCGATGGCCGCGTCGACTGTACTCCATGGCCTCGAAACGCTTGTCGCGTTCCCCGATGCCGTGCTTCACCTCGGCTAACGTGGCAACATTGGAATGGACGAAGGAGATGAGATGCGGGTGGATACGTTCTTCACCTCGTTGAGAACAGTAGAAATTCCGCTGCCGACGTCAAATGCCTCGTCTCCTTGGAAATTCTTGACGGGCGGCATCCTTGGAAAGAACGGCGAGACTGGTGTGACTGGCGAAATGACGAGCGAAGATGCATGATTCCGCGCACGGGGTGAGGGGGAGCGTGCTTTGGCACACGTCCGTGAGGTGTAACGGAAAAGCTTCTGCAGGCGGAAGCCTTGGCCCAGGCCTCACGGCTGCGGACAAGCTCAAGCCGCCGAGGCCTTGAGCCAAAATGGCTTGGGCCAAAATGGCCGCGTAGGGAGGAGGAGGAAGAGGAGGGGGAGACAGGAGACAGGAGAAAAAGGAGGAGAAGGGTGGCGGAACAAGCGGAGGAGTAAGAGGAGAGAAGAGGAGAAGGACGACAACGACGAGGACGGCAACGGCGACGGCGACGGCGACGGCGACAGTGACGGCAGCGGCGACGGCGACGGCGACGACGACAACGGCGACGACGACGGCGGCGACGACGACGACGATGACCACGACGACGACGACGACGACGGCGACGACGACGACGACGACCACGACCACGACGACGACGACGACGACGACGACGACGACGACGACGACGATAAGGAAGAGATTCGTAAGACGGGCCAGACTCCGTCGCGCGCGCGGCGGGGGGGGGTCCTCGGCGGCGCGGCGTGGGAGGCGGCCCGCCTGGCCTCGGCCAGGCCCTCGTCGAGGGGGAAAGCACAGACGCCGGGGGGGGTGGGCGGGCGGGGTCTCGGCGACCAGGGGGCACAGGAGGGCGAGAATGGGCGTCGTCTGACCAGTCCCCATCCCTCCCTAGAGCAGAACATCCACTCCCATATTAAGCACCCCAACAGGCGAAGCCGTTTAGTAAACGCACCCAAGGAAGGAATCGAACAGGGCAGGGGCCGTTCAATAAATGCACAGGGCCGTTTAGTGAACGCAAACTGTCAGGGTCGGGGTGGTTTCCCCTCCCTGGAAGAATGAGCGTCGTCTGACCAGTCCTCATCCCTTCTGGCGCGATCTTGACACCACTGCTGGCCACGCGCAGACGGAGGTAGGGGGGGAGGGGGAAGGCTCCTCAGAAGGAGGCTGTTTCTTAGAAGGCGCTGGCCTTACATCTATAGGTGAGGCCGGCGCCGTCTAAAAAGCAGTCTCCTTCTAAGAGGCATTCCCTCCTTTCTCCTGTGCGCTCTGCCTGTTCCTTTGGTGTTCATTTCGGCACACCCCTCTAAAGGGGCCCTGGGGCACAAACATAAATAGACACAAATCCCAGGATTCTATATATTTTCCTATATTTTCTGAGTTTTCGTCTTCCCCCTCACTTCCCATACTTTCCCATGGCTTCCTGGGAGTCGACGATTAATTCTCTTGCACAGCTGTGCTCTAGAGCTCGGACCTCTTTATTTTCTTGGTTCGTTCGTGGTTCGTCGTCCCTGGACCCCCCCCCCCCTCCCCCGAGCCTCCCAGGCCCCCCCTGGGCCGCCGAAGCCTTTATTTTCGTGGTTCGTTCGTGGTTAGTCGTCCCTGGACCCCCCCCCCCTCCCCCGAGCCTCCCAGGATCCCCCTGCCCCGAGCCTCCCCTCGAGCCTCCCAGGGCAGCCCCCCTGGGCCGCCGAAGCCTTTATTTTCGTGGTTCGTTCCTGGTTAGTCGGTCCCTGGACCCCCCCCCCCTCCCCGAGCCTCCCAGGAGGGATCCCCCTGCCCCGAGGCCCCCCTCGAGCCTCCCAGGGCAGCCCCCCTGGGCCGCCGAAGCCTTTATTTTCGTGGTTCGTTCGTGGTTCGTCGTCCCTGGACCCCCCCCTCCCCCGAGCCTCCCAGGATCCCCCTGCCCCGAGCCTCCCCCCGAGCCTCCCAGGGCAGCCCCCTGGGCCGCCGAAGCCTTGCATTTTCGTGGTTCGTTCGTGGTTCGTCGTCCCTGGACCCCCCCCCTCGTCCGAGCCTCCCAGGATCCCCCTGCCCCGAGCCTCCCCCCGAGCCTCCCAGGGCAGCCCCCCTGGGCCGCCGAAGCCTTATTTTCGTGGTTCGCTCGTGGTTCGTCGCCCCTGGACCCCCCCCTTCGAGCCTCCCAGGATCCCCCTGCTCCGAGCCCCCCCCCGAGCTCCCGGGGCAGCCCCCTGGGCGCGAAGCCTGTATTTCGTGGTCGTTAGTGGTTCGTCGTCCCTGGACCCCCCCCCCCCCCCCCCGAGACTCCAGATCCCCCCTGCCCCGAGCCTCCCCTCGAGCCTCCCAGGGCAGCCCCCCTGGGCCGCCGAAGCCTTTATTTTCGTGGTTCGTTCGTGGTTAGTCGTCCCTGGGACCCCCCCCCCCCTCCCCCGAGCCTCCCAGGATCCCCCTGCCCCGAGCCTCCCCTCGAGCCTCCCAGGGCAGCCCCCCTGGGCCGCCGAAGCCTGTATTTTCGTGGTTCGTTAGTGGTTCGTCGTCCCTGGACCCCCCCCTCCCCCGAGACTCCCAGGATCCCCCTGCCCCGAGCCTCCCCTCGAGCCTCCCAGGGCAGCCCCCCGAGCCTCCCAGGGCAGCCCCCCTGGGCCGCTGAGCCTCACGCCGAGCCTCCCAGGGCAGCTCCCCCGAGCCACCCAGGGCCTCCCAGGGCAGCCCCCCTGGGCCGCCGAAGCCTTTATTTTCGTGGTGCCCCCCTGGGCCGCCGAAGCATTTATTTTCGTGGTTCGTTCGTGGTTCGTCGTCCCTGGACCCCCCCCTCCCCCGAGCCTCCCAGGCCCCCCTGGGCCGCCGAAGCCTTTATTTTCGTGGTTCGTTCGTGGTTCGTCGTCCCTGGACCCCCCCCCTCCCCCGAGCCTCCCAGGATCCCCCTGCCCCGAGCCTCCCCCCGAGCCTCCCAGGGCAGCCCCCCTGGGCCGCCGAAGCCTTTATTCTCTTGCACAGCTGTGCTCTAGAGCTCGGACATCTTTATTTTCGTCGTGGTTCGTTCGTCCCCCTGGGCCCCTCCCCTTGAGACCCAGCTCCTCTGGGCCCCCCCCCCGTGGGAGCCTTTGGGAGCCCCCCTCCGTCCAGGCTTCCTAGGGCAGCCCCCCTGGGCCACGGAACCGTTTATTCTCTTGCAAAGCTGTGTTCTAGAGCTCGAACCCCTTTATTTTCGTCGTTGTGGTTCGTCCACCTGGGCCCCCTCTGGCTCCCCTGGGCCGCGGCCACCCCTCCCCCGAGCCTCCCGGGACTGCTCCCCCCCCTGCGGCGGCGCCGCGGCGGCGACCGCGGGCGGCGAGCCGCGCGGCGGGGCGCCGCCGACGACTGTCGTCGTCGTCGTCTTCGTCGTTGTTGTCCTCGTCGTCCTCCTCCTCCTCCTCCACTTTCTTTCTGGCTCCTCGTAAACTCCTCCTGAAAGACGAAAGCGGGGGCTTCCTGTCCTTCGCAGCTCCTTTGTGCAAGAGCAAGGGCACGCGTGCCACTTGTTGTGTCTGTGTGTTGTTTTCCCTCCTGACCCTCACACGCCTCGCAGCCTCACAGGCTGTTCCACCATGGGACCATCAAGAGCGAACTATGAAGAAAAACTGCCCCAGGGGGATGCAGTCCAGAGCTCTGAGGATACACGTCGTTCGTTGTACATACACACACAAAAAAATGCTCAACAAATACCAGAACAGAAGCGTCAGGATGTCTGGGCTGGCTGCCTCGCCCCGCGCCCCCCCCCCCCTGGATGTTGACCTCCTCCCCAGAGGACCAGCCGTAGTGCTGCGAGCTCTTCCCGACGTCCAGGTCCTCCTGTAGAGGCCTCCCAGATGGGGTCGGAATAGATGGGGTCGGAGGATCGCGCCGCATCGCCGATGCATCGCCGATGTATCGGCGATGCATCGGTGATGCACTGGCGACGTCGGCGATGCATCGGCGATGCACCTGCGACGTCGGCGATGCATCGGCGACGTCGACGTGGAGAAGATCGGGCCCTACATCGAGCCGCATCGGCGACGCATCGGCGATGCGGCGCGATCCTCCGACCCCATCTACTCCGGCCCCATCCAGGAGGCCTAGATCCTGGGCACCCCTCTTCGCGGTGTGGGCAGCGTACCCCACGGCCTCCTCGGGCACGAGGTGCTCCTAGGCTGGGCACCACGCGAGGCCACCGAGGGGAAGCGAGGCGGCCGCGTGACGGAAAAGAATTGGGCCCGATGCGCACCAAGGGCGAGTTGGCTTTCAGTCGGGCATGTCCTCCTACAGGCGGATTGGACGAAAATCAGAGTTGGTCCAAAAATGCCCCAAAACAAAATACTCAAAAATGGCAGAAAAAAAAAACGCCCCCAGGCTATTCTTTTAACATTCCTCCTGTGGAGGGACGCGCCCGACTCAGATCTGGCTGTGCAGAACATGGCCACTTGCGCTACCAGGCTCCCCTGACGCGGACCAACCCTGTGACCACGGAGCGATCCACAGGTAAGGCCCAGCCACAGAAACCGGACGAGACGAGCCTGAGAAGATGGTGCTGAGAGTCGTGCCTGAAGCAGCGGGGGAAACAAAAAGAAACTTGCCGATAGACTGCGCAAGTCAGCGGCGAGCGAGGGGGGGAAAGGAAAAGGAGAAGTCCTTCTCGGAAGGCGGCGGGGCGTTGTCAGAACACTCCGGCCTTCGGAAGGGTTCTGTGTCTTCGGGGAAGGCTTGGAAAACTTCTCAGAAGGCTGGAGGACTTTCGAGCCTTCTGAGAATGAAGGGGCCGAAGGACACACAAATAAATACACAACAAACCGGATTCCCTACATTTCTCCACATTTTCTGGGCTTCTGTCCTCCCCCCCACTGCCCATATCTTCCCATGTTTTCTGGGGAAG